ATCCTCTTACTTATTAGTAATACATTTTTAAAGTTAATCTGTATAAATTCTTTCAATTTCATTAAAAAGAGTTAATGGTAAAGAGCTATACCCAAATAACCTTTGCTTATTATTCATAATCAACATCTGTAAAAAATTCATATTTTTGATTCTTCTTATGCTACAATATGTTTGACAAAAATTAAAAGACGTTTAAATCATTCTTTACTGAAAATAAAATAAAATAATGAGATATATCTTTGTACAAAATATTATATATGTGAACTAATATTCAATTTTATTTATTATTTAATTAAATGTAAAAACCAAAAATGATAGAAAATGAAAAAGATTTTTGTTGCTCTAAAGGACATTAGCTACCAGTTGTTACAATAATACTTGATCCAAAATTATCAAAGGATTAGAGACTCTTGTGCACATAATGTTTGGAAAATACAGACATAGAAAGTAAAGCAGTTGGATTGAAGGAAATTATTTCATGAATTGAAGAAAGTTAAATAAAGAAGATGGAATAAGTGGAAAATATGATAATGAATTAATTAAAATTAATTGAGCAATTACATAGTATTGTTGATCAAATGAAATCCCATGTAATTTAATAATTAAACTAATTGATTACTATATTGATAGGATGGATTCAGAATTTATAATAAAAACGATCATAATGTTCTCAGTATAGTTTTTTTGAGGAATTAGAAATTATGTTTTTTAAATCAAATTAAACTGATTCATATTTATATATCCATGAAATTTAGAAAACCAATCTCAGTTGGACTTCAAAATTGAATCTTAAATTAGAATAATTTAATTAATTTAATGAATATAGTACATGTAAGTAACTGTTGAAAAATTTAGAATTAGTTTCTTAAAAATTTACACAAAGTGATTAATTGTAATCATTCAATATTTAACAAAAGAATTAAATAATACAATCGATGAATACTATAATGAATTGTAAAAAATTAAAAACTAATTAATTTAGTAATCAATCGAATATAGTCAAATATTAATTAATCCAAGAATGCACTATTTCATAAAGCGATTTATGTTTGGCAATTGCTATTGATAAAGATTGTTCAAAGTTGGTGGCTGGATGTAAGTCACTAATCAAAGTATTTGAATAATTAAGGGATAATAAAACAAATTTAAACTTTAAATTAACATAAAGATTTTGTAAAAACTTTAAACTTCATGCAGAAATCTAAATAGTTTATATCTGGAAGTTTTGATAAATCAATTATAATATGGAAATATAATTAAAATCGTTAATGGAGTTGTTAATAAATTTTAAATGAACATAATGATTCTATCTATTGTTTAGTTATAAATACTAATGAAGATTTGATAATATCAGGAAGTAGAGATAATACTATTAAATTTTGGATATATAAGAATTAATGGTTCCATTAATAAACAATATAGGATCATTGTTAATCTATATATGCATTAAGTTTGAATTAATAATAAAATAGAGTTGTATCATGTGGATATGATTAATATATTTTAATAATAGAATAATCAGAATAGAATAAAGAATGGAAACTAATATAAAAGATTACAATAGAATAGTTTGGATATCGAGTATGCTTTATTGATAATAATATGTTCGCATTTTCACAGAATAATTAAGAATAAATATCTATTTTTGAGATGAGTAATAACAATAAATAATTTATTAAGACTAAAGATATTCCTATAAAAAGTGGATTAGATTTCTACTCATCTTTTCCGTAACTATATATAAATTCCAAATGTATTCTTGTAAGTAAGAACGGAGAATATGTCAATTTGATAAGAAAAATATAAAATGGAGAGTTTCTGACTGAATAATCTATTCATATTGGAATTAGTTCTTTATTTGGAACAATGAGTAATGATGGAGAGTATTTGGTCACTTGGGATGAAAAATCAATGTAAATACAAATTAGGAGATATTAAGAATAATGAGAATTTTTTAATTCTACATAAAGAATAGTATAGTGTAAATTTTTTATCTATCTGTTGATCATTTTTACTCATATCATATATATAAAGCTTAAATTTCCCATTTAATAAATTTTCTGTATTAATATCCTTCTTTCTATGAGAATTAGTTTCCTAATTCTCATTTCGATTGGAACCATTGAAAATAATATAAATATTTAAAAGATTTAATTATTATTTGATTCATGTATTAAACTGGAATTGGGGGAGGTGGTGGTTATAGTTTTGGCTTGGATGTGTATTTCTCGCATTCTTATTTCACAATGTTCGAAATTAATATTGCAATGTCTTTCATTTATTCAGTCATTGATTTTTAAGGTTTTTTAATCAATGAACCATAATAGTATGTATCTAAACGTTTCATAATGTGTTAAAGCTTCATAAGTTTTTTATGAGTTGTGCATTTTCTCCATTAATGTTTCCATATGTCAAAGAATGCATAACTAAGAATTCTTCTGATCTAAAGATGATTGATTT